CATTCCTGACACGGCATCTGGTGCTGCGACAGCCACGCTTTCGGATAGGATTGGAACGTTTTGCTCCACACGATCGGCATAAATCCTGGCTGACTCCGGAACGTGATGTACGACATCACTCACCCGATCTGCTTTGATTAGGTATGGGAGTTGGCCTGGAAACCACACAAATGGCCTGCCATGCTGTTCCACTTGAAGGCCTACCGACAAGGCATGAGGGCAATCCTTCAACATGTAGAACGTGTTTGTTCCTGACAATTCCCCTGAGAGATCCACCACTTCAGCACTAGGCCTGATGCCACCGCCGGTGCAGAATTCGATCGGCTCATTTGCCTCGTGCACATGCTCCCTGAAGGATTGCGGCAAACTCTTGCTTGAGATTAAGTTCCTACCGGCACCTGTGTCCAGCAGAAACTCTTGCTGCACTGGCTGGCTAAGGCACGCAATCATGGTTGCCACGGCTTTCATGCATTGCGACAACACGGGAGTGCAAAATGCGGTCTTCTTGCACTTCTTGGCTGCTTTCTTAGCTTCAGCAACAGTTCCTTTCAAGGCATACGCGGCTGCGAAAACCTTTGCTGCCCCTGCGTTGACGGAGGCTGCACCTGCTGGCGATGACGTCTGAAGCCCTTTTGGCTTGGGTCCCTTATAGAGATTGTTGGAATCATGCAGATAGAAGCACTTATCACCTTTGGTGCAAGCATTATACCCAAAGTACATGCAAGGCTGCTTCTTCTTCTCTTCATCCGTTAGCCTAGGAGTGCCCTTAGGAGTTGTGTCCCCCTTCTTACCCTTGCCACCCTTACTCTCGCCCTTGCCTTTCCCCTTTGCGGGTGCTGCATTCGCTTCTTTAGGCTTCGGATCTTTGGAGTCTTTGGGCTTCTGGCTGGATGAAGGTTGCTCCTTTTGGGCTTCCCCCTTCTTCTCTGCCTTCTTCTTGTCGTTCTTGTCTTTCCCTTCCTTTGTCTTGGCTGGCGCTGCTTGGGACTTAGTTGCGGATTGCGTGTACACCTGATCGATTGACACGACATTTTCATCTAGCTGATGAATCTCGATGATTTCCCCGAGCTTCGCGTAAAGCCAAGGCCAAGTCCTTTTACTGCTGTTTGGACTGGCGTTCCTGAAACGGTCGATCACCAAAGCCATTTTTGGATGTCCTTTCAATTGCTCGAAAAGGGTGCTCCTAATAGCTTGGTCACTCGGTCTCTCGGAAACTTCCAAGGCCTGGTACACGAAGTCGAATCTCTGACGGAAATCTTCGAGTGCCTTAATGTCGGTGCCGCTCATCTTGAGGCCTAAGAGATGGGTTTGAGTCAAGGCAATTCCCCTATCCTTCTCCATCTTAAACCTCTCAAAGATGACCCACAACAACTTCCGCCCCTTTGGCTGCTTGAAGACCCGTTGCTCTTGCTCCTGAATGGATTGGAAAAGCATGGCAAACTTGGTGTTCTTCGACAGCTCAAGCAGCTTTGAACCCAACACTCGATCAAGAATTGGAAACGGAAGGCTCGACTCGAGATCGGCTTTGGGATTAGTGCTTTCGGCGATCCAGCTATGGATTAAGGATTCGTCACCCTTTGCAAGCCTACACACAAGGTTGAAAACCGAGTTCCTGAATAGGCGAGCGTCTGCCGCCGTTTTGGGCAGCTGAGGCAACTTCATCTCATCATATGCCTTCACACGCATGAGTTTCTTTTCCCTTGAGTAGGCATCGATTGCCCCGTCAATTTGGGCCATTCCCTGATTTCCTTGAGGGGGAATTGAGGGGCCCTGAGGAGGTCTTTGCAATCCTCCTGGCGAACCTCCTGGTCTCCCGCCGCCTCCACCCTTGTTGGATTCGCTTGATGAGCTATCCGAGTGATCTGGCGACCCAGGATTAGAACCATGCTGTGAACCATTTTGCGACCCACCCCCCGACTGCCCTCCCACAGATCCTATGTTGAAAATCTGAGGGACCTGCCCTGTTCCTGCCTGATGAATTTGCGGCACAGTTTGAGCGGCGGCAGTCTGGGATGCAAATAGCTCAAAGGCTGATGTGAGTTGATCCAAACGCCTTTCTAATGCACTTAATCCCGGATTTGGTGCAACTGGAGAAGAATCCCCAAAAATGTTTCTCACAGCACCTGATAAGTCCCATGATGAAGCATTGTGTGCACTGATTCCGGTGCCCTGTGGCATCACGGGGCTTGCCTGATGTGAACCATTGCCATGCGCTATCGGTTGGGGGTTTCCGGTGCCCTGCGGTATCACGGACCCGTCCTGCACTGGCTGGCTGGTGCCCGAAGGCATCACAGCAGGATGCCCACTCGCCTGCAGTGGCTGATTATCCGCGCCATTATGGATGCATGCCAATTCCCTTTTTAAGGATTGATTTTCGGCCTCAAGAGAATTCAACCTTTGCTCCATTGCTAGCAATCGGTCTGCCAACTGTTGCGCCCTCTGCGTTGCTTCGGCCTCCCTAAGTTGGTGTTCCCTAATCTGGTCACTTGTGCCATGCTGGGTCCTCGTCAAGGCATCTTGGAGTGCCTGAACCTGTGCGTTGGCTTGTGATTCCAAATAAAGGACTCGCTCCTGGGCTTGTCTCAATTGGTCCCCCGATTCATGCTTGGTCCTTTCAAGTGATTCCTGAAGGGCATGAACTTGATTGAAGGATTGGCTTTCCAATTGATTTACCCTATCCCTAGCCTCGGCCATTAAGCATTGAGCTTGGGCTTCAGTGACAACCAACCTCCTATCATTCTCTCTCAAATGCGCTTCAGCTCTTTCGACCAGTTGTTGATCCAATGATTGAACAACCATGGTCGGCTGGTACACTTGGGTGTGATGAGCTTGAGCGTGCATTTCAACATTTGGTGAGAAATGATGATGCTGATGCAACTGAGCACTTTGCATGTTGATCCTACTACCCATCGGTTGGGATGATGCCGTGGACATGCTAGTGTCTTCATTACTATTACTGGAGTCTGCGACCTGCGGGGGTGAAAACATCTGTACAGATCCCTGAGCAGCTGGAACTATTTCTGACGGCTCCATTGCTTCTTGAAATTGGTCGGACAGGAAAAGCTACTGACGCAATGCCTGCTTGCACCTTGCGGCGCACTCCGGCCAATGGGCCACACAATCCTCAAGAAATCCGACTGGCCTGAACAAATTGTTGGCCGGTGGCTTTCTGCGAAGCTTGATGTGAATGCCCGAGATCTTGTCCTGTACCTGGCGATCGATGATACTGTTGATGACCTCGTCACTGTCGTCAACGATGAATGCCGAGCGGAATCCAACTGACAGCAGATCCTGAAGGACTAGCACCTTCCCACCTTTCTGGGTCCTGGGATTGAAACTGGCCCTTGCGGAAGTTGTAACGATGAAGTCAAAAACTGATGAGATATCCGGAGTGCGATTGAACGCAGCAACCAATGCGTCTCGGCGTTCTTGGCTATGGAGGTAAAATAGGCAGATTGTCACAACGTGGATACCTTCGCGAAAGAAAGCGGCTTTCAGCTGTCTAATCGCTTCGAGGTTGTCGTGGCAAATACCTTCGTAATCCCACTCTGTGCGTCCGCAACGGGCTCTGTCAAGAACCTGGTGATAGTCGATTGCAACCACGCAACTGTCCCGAAAGTCAATGCCGTAGCGCGGCTCGTAGACAAAGGACAATCCTTGATCTTCCCAATTGCTGTTCACACACTTGAATACTCCTGTGGCAAGAGTCAAATCACAAATCACCGCAGCGAAGTGATGCCCGGAAGGCTCAGCGCGCCTCGGCGTACGTGAAGTGCTCTCTGGCCTCGACGCAGCTTTGCTGGTCGCCTGGAGCAATCTGTGCTGCACAGGCTCCACAGATGACGATGCAGGCTCTTCGGCTCGGAGCGACTCGCGCTGCACAAGCCTAAGAGGAGCAGATCGATCCGCTGCCTTCACAACCCGAAAAGACACCCGATGATTCTGGGGCTCCTCAGTCAGACGCTGTTGCTCGTTCCAAAAGGCCTGTTCGTAGAGCTGTAGCTGTTCCCAGTTGACTTTTGCACGTGCAAGCCTGTCCCAGGCACTATCCAGCACAAATGGAGGTTCGTTTGATGAAACCCCCTCGGCCAATCCGTCACGTAGTACACCAAGTTTCTGTGACTTGCCTCTTCGTCCGGCTCGATGCCAACCGAAGAGGTTCCACAGTTCCGGTGCCACTCCCGGATGCTCGACGCCCTCACCCGCCGTAGCTATCAGTCGCAGCTCAAAAGCTACGGCTGATAACCAGACGAAATACGAATCAAGACAAATGAAGTGAAGAGTGTAACCAAAAGTGCAATGGCGGCACAGAAAGCTTCACTCGCGCGACCCTCCTTTTATCTTGAGCCAAAAGTACAAGTCATCCAAGGCGAACTGAATGTTTGTTATCAGTGTCAACCCTGGAAACCTGATTCAAAAGGAAGTTCAAGCAAACATGAATTCCGGGGGCAAGGTTGAATTAGACATGCATGCACCACCTACCATCAGGAAAATGTGGATTCCAGCAGGGGGCATTCTTCTTCATGTTAGCTCATGTTCCCCTGCGGCTACGCCATCTGAGGCTCGAAGGTGCCCAAGCAAGCTGACCGGAGCTTAGCCATGGACTTATGATTGCTGGTTACGCGCCGGGTTTATCAAAGAACGCAACACACAAACACACAAACACACACAAACACAAACACAAACACAAACACAACACAACACACACACAAACACACACACACACACACACACACACACACACACACACACACACACACACACACACACACACACACACACACACACACACACACACACACACACCCACACACACACACACACACACTCTCACTCTCACACTCACACTCACACTCACACTCACACTCACACTCACACTCACACTCACACTCACACTCACACTCACACTCACACTCTCTCACACACACACATTGGCTTGGCATGGCTTCCACCATGCAAAACGTGTGAGATTGAGTCAGCACAGTCTCCCTCGCTGCCGCCTTCGGGCCGCCAGGAGCTTTCGATGCTCCTCGTGGGGCTTGTCAGGGGTGTGGATCGTGACGCAGCCTTGTCCTGTGAACGTCGAAGCCGCACCGGTGTGGACTGGGGTTTCGAGAACCCCTTTGGCTTGACAGCGCTCACTCAAAGACGGTGGAGACATGGCAAGGACCAAGGCATCCCACAGTAGGCACGGCCGAAGCAGCAGAAATCGTTTGCTTTGTCTGAGGAGTTGCTGGGCCCAAGCACGGCCCAAGCTGTGCCTGCCGCTTAAAGCCAAGCAAGCGCAATGGTTGGGCCAAGTGTCCCTTCATGTGGGGCCTTCTTATTGGTTCAAACCAATTTTCCTGGAACATGTTGTGTATGGGTGGAGCAGTTCCCTTCCAATGAAACATAATCCATCACCGAACTGCTGCCAATTGCTGTTAGAAGCAGGCCACTGCGGATTCATCAATTCATTCTGGAAAACCTTTCAGCTCTCCCCCGTTTGTGTTGACCCCTTCCGGCTTTGCTCCTTTGCGTATCAGCGCCACCCCCGCGTTCAGGGTCTGCCACAAGGCCACGGGAGGCAAGGTATGGAAGCGCCCAGCACAGGCCACCTGCACCTCAGCTGGTGGCATCGGCTGCAATCTGGGCATGGCTTGGTGTTACTGGGCTTTCGCATTTCGGGGGTGGTGGTGTCCTGTTGAAATGAAAGGCCACCTCATGTTGAGCTTGATTTAGTGTCATGTCAGTCGGCATGCCATGGACTGACAAAGTAGGATTGCGCCCTCCCTTCAGAAGCTCCCTGTTTGAAAGGCCAAATGTCTATTGCAAGTCATGCAATCAGCCGCGCACCTGGCTGTGGTACTCGTCCATACTATTCTTGCACTTGGTCCTGAACTCCTGGATGGCTTTCTCCAGTGTCTTCTTGGTGACCTTTGGGCCACGCGCTTCGTGCCGCGAGCTACTGGACATGAGCATACCTCACTTTGGCAAAATTTGAGTAAGACATGCAACCTTCTGGCCCCAATGCCGAGCCCAACCCACCCGAAACCAATCCAGGACCTACCCTGAGAAAGCAGCTCCAAGCAATCTAAGCCAGGTTCAATTCTGCAAGCAAAACAACCAACCAGGCGATGCCCCCTGGCCAGTGAAATCGGACCCAGCTGGCGTTGAGCAAACCAGATTCTTTGGGAGGTTTGAAGAAGAGACCAAAGAGATGCTGTTTGTGTTCACCAGGTTCAGCGGGCCATTTCAAAGTTCCTTTTTGGTCTCCCAAAAGTCATCGAAAACGGGTGGCCCATTTCCGTTTGGCAGCCCTTAAGCGATCGCAGAAACAACTCCAAAGAGGGTACTGCCTCAGAAAAGCACGCCCACTTCCCCTGCCTCGACAGTGGTCGTCCCGTCATCTTCGTCAGCACCCTCCACTGTGGCTGCGGAGTCGCCTCCTGAGGGCAAAATCATGCGAACTAGCAGCGCACGACCCTCATCTACGCTCTTTTCTATAAAAATGGAAAATGGACAAAGGGCCTCTTCCAAATGGTATTCCGCAACTTTGCTCTTCAGCACTTCCATGATTGTTGGAAGGATGGTGTATCAACATCATGACTTTGGGGTTGCGACATGCTCGAGCTTGGCAGCCCCTGCAAACGGACACCGTGTGGCCGAGCCCTGATTTCCGTTTGATCCAACAGGCACCGCCCTGACCTGCTTTGAAGCAGGTGGATCTTCAAACCAAAACAACGAAACTAAATTGAGGCGTCTGCGGTGGGATAACACAGCCGCCCCAAGCTGCAACATTCAGCAAACAACAACTTGTTTAGGCATCAGCACAAACCGCTGCACAGAAAGCAACTCCAAAAAGAGAACCTCGTTCGCATGTGCATCATCACCAGGTGCATTTGGACATGGGTTGAAAGTTGAATTAGTCCGGATCGGGTTTAGAGTTTAGAGTGGTTGTGGGCAACGCGCGCCTGACAGCGCCTCCTTGGCAGCTGCCAGCAGCTGGGCCTAGCCGAAAGCGCGTTGGCATCCCATGCTTCATGCATCGCTGACGTATGCACCAGGTTCAGCAGCCCATCCTGCCTAAAAACGGAGCGGGTTGGAAGGGGGTCTCGCACACCCTGTCTGCCAGGAACAAGGCTGCAAAAACATGCAACCCCTCTTTTGGGTTGAGACGTGCGGGAGACAAGCCAACACCGGCCTCAGGCAGATCCCGCAGCACCGTGGCTCGCTGCCAGCCCCCGAGAGAAATCAGGTGCGCCATCCTCAGCCAAAAGTCTGCTCTTTCAGCTTCCCTCTGATTGGTGGCGTGGATTGGTGGTTAGGCTAGGGGATGGTTTCCCTTTACCCTCTAGAGTTCAAACCAATCCGAACCAGCAATTCTGGCTCGCCTGACTTTTCCCCGGGATGAAAAAAATCGAGCTGCACACCATGGGTGTGATGTCTCCTCCACAAGAACAGAAGTTTACGGGTGCGCCCTTCCGCGTTTTTCTAGGGGGTGGGGATGATTGTGTGTGTGTGTGTGTGGGAATGTGTTAACTTTTCGGGAGCCTATCCTGATCAGGTTTTGACAGATGCTAGCGTTGCAAGCTCGTAGATTGGCCCAAACCCAACCCAGGCTGACCCCAAAACTCCAAGCTGAAGCCTGACCCTAATCCCATCTTTAAGTGGTCGAAGAGGGAGGTTCCTAGACACGACTGGGTTGCTCCGAGACGCACATGTTCAAGTTGGTAGATATTTGATTCGGCTTGACATCCTGCATGAAAATGTGCACAAGGATTTCCCCCGGCAGAGTGCCTTAAAAAGAACTTACGCTTGTCGAGTTCGCAAAGCAAGCAATCGGAGAGCAAGTATGTGAGTGTGTTTCGGTATACGTTTTTGGGAGCAAGGAGCAATGAGCTCTCAATAGAGGAAATAGCCGGAACGCCAGCCGAATGCTTTTAAATATCGACTAAGTGAGAGCGAGGCCGTGTTTCAAAAACAGTTGAAAGGATAAGACAGCTTGGCAAACCAAAAAACAAGATCAACCGGATTCAGACCCGTCCGGCCCCCGCATGGCCATGCCCTTGTCGCCGGCCGCAATATTCCTCGCAGAGGGGCAAGATGAGCGCACACATGACAGACAGGACTGCCACCACCATGCCTCAGCTGTGCCAAACCAGAGGGGGATAAGCACATGCATGCGCACATGCGTTCAGAAATGAGTAAGCGTTAGGGCGTTAGAAGCCCAACTAGCTCGAAACCCTCCGCTGGCCCTCCGCAGGTTCCACTTCAAATTGTAAGCAATGTATACCCAGCGCCGTGCTCTGGCATAGGGGCGTGCCGCTGAGGTCAGCAACGCGGAGGCCCAAAAAGAAGTAGCCAATACCGGATTGGGAAACTTGCAGCGTGGAGTGTGTTGCAAAGGGGCCAGAAGGGAGAGTGTGACGTGCGTCGCGTTCGTCTTTTTTGTTGAAGGTGCTCTTTTGGATGATTTAAACGGGAAACCCCTATTTCAAGACAACCCCAAAGAGTACAACAAAGGTTCCCTACATGTTCGCCTCCTCTTATCGGCTCCCCCTCCCCCACAAAAAAGGTTCCCCTGTTTCACACCAAAAGCAACGAGTCTTGCAACCTCCCCCCCCCGCTCGGCGTGCCAATCATCACTCTGAGATACCCAAGGAAGGCCAGTCATCGAGCACGGCGGCAGCCACCAGCCCCCAAAGGGCGAGGACGAAAAAGGCCTGGCGAAGTTGATTTGCCTCAAGTGGCTGGTCCATGTTAATTATCTTTTGGGTTGATGCTTGCTGTGGCGTGGATGGATGATTGGTCCGTTGGGGTGATGCTTGAAAAACCAACTTCCCGGGAGCACTACGTTCGCCCACCAACTAGTTCAATATTCCCACATAGGGTGGTCGTGTATTGGAGGGGTTCGGGCTTTTGGGGGGGGGAGGAAGATCTGCAACCCACACTTTAAGATGGGTGGACGCGGCCTTGAGACCCAAGCAAGACTGGGGTCGTGGCGACCGCATTGCCGCACAGGCCGCGGTCGGCAGGCAAACATAGGTCCCAGCGAACAACTGTTTGTCGGACCAAAAGTCCATCAACTCCCAGTGTCCCCCCCCTCGCTGCCTCCAGCAGAGCTACGATATCCCACTGCGCGCGCGCCTTAACGTGGCCACGAACCAGCCATGCGAGCCACAGGAACAGGGACGTGTAAAGTGTTCTCGCTGCGCGTTTCATGTGCGTCTTAACATAAAGGAACAAACATGTTGAAAGGTTTGGGGGCTGGGCAGGAGGGCAGCCCGATTCCAGACTCGAGTCCATCTGCGCCAAGCCGCCAGCTCGCCCCCCTTGAAGCGATACATGGGGAAGACCAAGCTGGAAGACCTCTCCGAATAGGTTTCGTTTTCGTATCAAACCCGGGCTCAGGGGAAGCACCGCTCTCGGAGAAAACGCCCTTGTGGGCCACCAAGTTGAAATCCAAAATAGCCCTGACAACTCTCGAAAAAATTGAGCCCACCCCTCAGCAACCGCTGACCAACTGGATTCCGATTTCCCTGGGTTTTCACATGGCTTCTGGCCCCAATTTTATTTACGGGCGAAACGAATCATCAAGTTTACCCAATGTATAATCGGGGTTGGGGCGGCCTTCCCCAATTTAGGAAACGCCCATAAATTTCAAAGGGGGCCCTTGGTGGACATCATTTTATCCGACCCCCACTAATTATTCACGGTCCCCCCTTAATAGAAAACAACGGGGTTGGCTTTTTTAGGGTCCCCAGGTGTTTGGCCAGAACTGTTTCAGATTGTGTTGTTTAGTGTTGATTTTTTAAAAAAGCGCTCAGAATGCATTTGTTCAAGCAGGTGCCCAGAATGCAATTTTGAAGTAAGAACTTTTAAAGAGAAGGGACCTCTTTGTTATTTGCCAAAAAGAGTTTGCGAATGCAGCTTTCAAGTAAGAACCTTTAAAGAGAAGGGACCCCTTTTGATTTGCAACAAAAAGTGTTCCGAATGCATCGTTCAAATACGAACTTTTCAAGGGAAGGGACCCTGCAAAATGAGACTCTTTGAGCCTGGCCGAGGCGGGCAGCACGAATTTTGTACAATTCTATGGAACAGGTCAAACAACCTAGAAGGGTCAGCCTTCAACCCTGCGATAAGCGCGCGTTTCTTGAGCCATGCGTAGCGAGTTTGACGAAGCTACGCCAGTGAGACACTCATGCAATTGGGGTTAATGAGGTTGATAAGTACATCACATTGTAAAAATACACCCCCCGTGGCCGACGGTGAAACAGGAGGACAAATGTTAGGGATCAACACAACCAAGTAAACCCGATCGGCATGAGGTCTTTTGCAGGTAATGAGCACCTGATTGACAAGCAACGGCCAGTTAAGGTCTTCCGCCTCTGCTGGCCACCGCTTTCGCGAGGCAGTACTCATTCCTGTACATTGGTCTTCGGCAAACATGGTCAATTAATAGATTGAAATTTGAAATGCAAATGGATGTCTGCCGAAGATCTGGAATTACATCCGCTCAGCGCCAATTCCAGTTGCAAGATCTTTTATGGGCGCTGCTCCTCCTCCCACCAAGAGTCCCACGACTGGTCCCAGCTGCTCCAGTAGGATTGGGGCCAGTCTTACCACTGGGCGCCGGTTTCCCGAGACGGAATTTCGCTCTCAACAAAGCAAAGAATCTCCATTGAGTTGGTTCATGGACTGTGGCATAGGGTTTCCCCTTGCGAGGTTGGACTGAGGGTCATACATGACAACGTCACCATGCCGACGCCGGCCGGATCCAAAGGGTGAAGGAGATCGGGCACCAGACCGCCCAGGCCTTCCTTAGTTGCTCCGAAGTGATTCGGGGCCTTGACTGCTCAAAGCTTGTCCCTTCCTGATGAGCTCCCTGGCTTGTAGGTGCATAGTGCGAGGGATCATCACTCGCATGCTCATCAGGAGTAGGGATCACCTCAGTAGGGGAGATTCCAGGGTCGCCATCCATGGCGCACAACTCTGTGCAGTGAGCCGCTTACGGCTGACAACCTATAGAACAGGTTTTCCAACCCAGAAGGGTCAGCATTCAACCCTTCGATAAGCGCGCTTTTCTTGAGCCATGCGTAGCGAGTATGGCGAAGCTACGCCAGTGAGACACTCATGTAATTGGGGTTAATGAGGTTGATAAATACATCACATTGTAAAATACAAATTCAAAGTCATAGCCATAGCCCATATCAACATACAAGGTGAACACCCTTTTCAATGATGTTAGAAATGGAAATCAGTAGGAAAGCTACAAATTGAAAGCAAAACGCAACTCAATCTTAGACTTCGCAGTTAATTTCAAACCACCACCCCAAAGTGAGCTTGAAAACCTCTCAAAATGTTCATTTTAAGGGACCCAGCCCTCAGCCATGCTCCCCAACCCACCAACTCCCCACCAATGAAATACCCGCGCCAGCCATTGCCCCGCCCGATGCGGAGCTTCTCCAGGGATGTGCGCTGCTGCGCATCGGAGACCTCCAACAGCGCCGCACCAAGGAGCAGCACCACTGCCCCCGCGCACACCTGCGACGCGGCGACCCGTTGCGGTTGAGGTGCTTTGGTTTTTTCTTGCCCCCGCTTTTCACGAGCTCTGGTTGGGCGCGTCATGCCGCATCCCCAGCATCACTAGGACTGGGGTGGTGTCTTACGGTGGGCTTTAGGCGTCCAAGACCCGCCCTCATCTACATCGAAGCCAGCCCCGAGCAAGTCCCAGCTACCACCAAATCAGAGTCCAAGCGAGGCTGGTGATGGGGACCAGCTGGCCAACCAACCCACCAACCCACCCACCCAACCGACCAACCAACCAACCAACCAGCCGGTGCCAAGCGTGGATAGGCATCGGTTCTGGCGACCCTCCCACCAAGCAAAAGAAGGAAACAACTGCGGGAGAGACTCCAAGTCGAACTCCCAAAAAACAAGGTGTCCAACACAAAACAACACAAACAAGGTGTGTTCTTCATTCAGGATTTGCTTGGTTTCAGCAGCGTCGTCCCAGAACCTCCCACACATTCCCGGAACGGAACCCTCCAATTTTCGGGGGGTCGAGTTCTTTCCCCCCTGAAAAAAAGTTGTCTCTTGCTGCTACAACACGGAGACCTGGCTTTGGCAGCTTCGGAGGGTTGGGGAGGGCAATGGGTCGGTGAACAAAAATGGGTTTGGGGTACGGGCAGGGGGCAGTCTATTTAAACTCTCCTTCAGATGTCAGGAAACTCTGGATGGCGCAAAAGGGGCGGTTTTGCAGGCCAGCATTGCTCCATGGAGACAGTCTGGCGGCCTCCTAATATTAACAGTGGCAGCCCATTAAAAAATGCGCCTGGTTGGCTCAACAGCTTGCGAAGTTCACAAAAGCACTCTTCAATGGCTGTGGTCTTTAAAGTGCTGCTGTGCAAAACGCCCACGCCCATTATTGCGTGGGCAAGTTCAAACATAGCATTGAAATGACCTTCATTTGCTTTTTGCGGCCGTTTAGGACTGCTAGCGCGTCGGCGTGCATCCTCAGGAGTTTGTTGGAAAGGCGATCCCGAAGGCCTCACGGCCGTTTTGCCCCCCCAGGCCTTCAACTCTCTCGATCCAAAACCACCCTGCGAAGCAACCCCGAACAGAACTGCAGAAGCCAACCGCCAAACATTTGGCGACACGCATGGAAGTTGAAAGGTCAACACTGGTTTGCAATAGCAGGGGAAGGTCGGCAGAATGAGTTCCCATCATGTGCAGCAGGGCCACGGCGGTGAAGCCCCCAAAGATGCTCTGGAAGTAGTAGGTTATGCCCACCGCTGCCCCCAAGATGCACACAGAGAGGCAAATGCCGCTGATAATCTTTGCCTTGGATGGGCAAGGACGCGACCACGGGCGTTGCCCACCGGAGGCATTGGCTTAACGCATTCCAAGGCGCCTTGCGTGACACGAAGCGGTTGTTGCGGAGCCAATGCAAAAAGGCGATGCCGAGAATGACGACCATCAGCAAGAGGCAGAAGCCGCAAAGAGCCACCGGCCAATATCTGAAGGCAATGACCACCAGGAAGCTCGTGTACACAGCCTGGACGCTCGACCAGGTCCCCGGCGGATGCAAAACCACAACTTGTTCAAAGAAGTATCAACTAGTCGGACACTTGGATGGACTTTCAGGATTACCCTGCCCACCGACCTACCAAGCCTCTCCTCCAACTAGTGTGATCAGGGCGAGGTTGCCCTACATGGAGCGACCAGAAACGAAACAAGCCTAGGCAACCGGGTTAAAGAGATAGCTGCACGATTGCTTGCTGGAGCATGGAAGACCAAGCAGGACAGTGCAAGTCTACTGCGGCAGCATGCCATCATGACAAGGTCCTGCTCCAGCTGCCAACAATGAGCAGGGCAACCAGTTAGACTGTAGATAACCGAAGTGATACCGGCCTGGATATCCGGAAACCCCTCAAGACCACACCCTTCGAAGTCGAAACGCGCCGGCTGAGCGACAAGTTTGAATTTTCATGGGCCAAGCAGCTGCACTGAACAGAATGGCGTTGCGCACGAAGAGCCAGGTCGCTTTGTCCTGGCGAGCTACAAGATTGCCGGTCCTTGTCTGAAGGCAGGAAGTGACTGGGGCAGCTAGTCAAGACAAGCAACGCCGACAGCAATGGTGCCTAGTGCTGCGGTGGTGTGTGCTGAGTGCGGTACATGATGGTGAGTGATGTGAGTGCTGGCGAATAGCTGTGTGTGTGTGTGTTCGTGAAAGAACGAGGCATCCAAGAAGAGTCCAGCCAAGATCGACCTGACCGACGTGCCCCGACAGTCCTTCGGGTTCCACTGAGCATCCCGGAGCACCTGCACCGCCAGCACCCCTGTGTAGACCGCGGGGTAGAGGAAGACCACGCAAAGAATGCCCATGGCAAAGAAGTCCACCTCCAAGGATGCAGGGCGGCTGGTGGCAGAATGTCCCTGCACTGCAAAACGGGAACGTCCTGCTCGATTCAGTGCCCACTGCTGACAGGTTGTGAGCTCATGCGCACGATAAAATGGAGCAACCAGTGCAACGGCAAATCCATAGAAAGTCCAAAGGGCGCTCGTTTGTTGAAAATCACGGCGCAGGCCCTGCAATTCAAGAGGCCGGCGCTGGCCTGCATCTCGTGGTGGAAGTACCACACCAGGCCACCCCACGCCACCAAGATCAAGATCTGCAAGTCGAGATGCACTGCATGCAAAGCCAAAGGGCGGGAGCAGAGCCGAAAGCAAAGCCGAAGCATATTTCCTCACAATAGACAATGTGGGACAACCAGGGGACAAGTGCCAGCTTTGTCTTTATGAGCTCTTCACTCCAGGCAAACCCTGTGGCCGCGTGGAAAACTCAGAATTGGCCGTGTCAGAGCCCAAGATCAGATCATGAGAAGCATGTTTTTGGATCAAAGTGTGCGTGCTAAATTGCCAAGATGATAGGGCGCAATGGTCGGCCGCAATACTTGACTGGGCACATCAGATTGCAAGGCGCTTCTCAGCCCAGGCTTCGAGCATTGCCGAGTGGCGATGATGGCCCAGAGTATGGGCTGAGCCTTGTCTAGCTGCAGAGTGCCAAACCAGAGCCTCAGTTTGCAACGAATTCGACTGGCCGAATGCCAAATTCGGTCCACCCCTCGTCCCTTCAAATCCAAAAACAAAGCAAGCCCACCTAGCATCCCCAGAAGCAAACCCAGGCCTAGAATCTGCGCCACTCCAGAACAGAGGTTCAAAAACCTTTCGAAACCTTCCGCGACCCCAATCCAGCAACTGCCATGATTTGCGAAGCCTTGCGGGGCCATGTGGAACCCTGTGGCCGGGAGCCCCCAGAACCTACGAGTTTGATTTCTGGGGCCCTTTCGCGATGCTTTCGCGACCCTCTGTTTAACTTTCGCGGGCTTCGTTTCCTTTAGAGTTGATTTCGGAGCTTTCTCAGCGGACTGTGCGAAACAATGCAAAACACACCCTTGGGAATAGACTCTTTCGTGATGAGCTTTCGCGGCCCCGCGTTTTTGCCTTCATGGCTTCCAAAATCAGCTGCAATTGTTACTATACGTCAAAAGCTGAACTAAGGGATTGTGTCAAGTCACGGACCTTTATCACGGTGAGCTCGTTTATACCTCGCTTACAAAAGAGAAGTATAAAGCCTCCCTGTACTTTCCCCTGCCAGGGTTTATGGCGCTGCTCATAAAAAGCCAGCCATGCACGCTGGAATTGCAGCAGGCACCCACTCAACCCCTACCCAGCCACTGCTGAACGAAATCCCCGCTCAACGGAATTCCTGGAGCCAGAACCCTGCGGAATTCGGCCGGCCCAATTCAACCCCCGCTTCATGGAAGCCGCGGAGCCTTTTGGAACCTTTTGGAACCCGCCCCGGATTCCCGCAGAACCTGCCTGAAACTGACTTTGGAACTGCTCCGAACTCTGGGGCTTATCTGGGCAGAGATCAGCGAACTGATACGCAGCTTTTTAAGCTGGTGGGGAAAACACGGGGCAAACGAAACAAAGGTCCGAACCAGCACTCGCCATGACTTTGCTCGCCGAGTGGGGGGGGTCTTCCCCCCAGAAAGTCAAGGCTTCCCTCTAGAATAGGTTGCAACGCCCTAGTGTTCAACCAAGCATTTGTTGTTTATCCAGAGGGCCACACACATTAGAGGAACCTCTCAAATGGATCAATCATGATCAACCATTTCCCTGGACAGTACCATCCCCTTGCCTTCCGCCCCTTACAGTCCAGCTGCCTGTTGCTCATGAAGGTCAGCGCCAGCACCAGCACCCCAGTGGCGATGCTCCAGCCCACCCAGCGGAAGCGCAGCTCCGAGACCAGGTGCAGCACCACCCCCTCGGGGGGTCGTCTGCTTGCTCTGCTGAGACATCGATTCCGTTTTCGGACAATTTCGGGATAACAAGAGGGAACAGGGAACCTGCGGTAACTTCAAACAGCAAACCAGGGGCGATCAAGGGCGAGGAGCTGGAGAACCCTCCCTCCCATGAAGTCACGTGTCCGCCCCCCATAAGCATGGCCTCTCGGTCTGAAAGCAAAACCCAAGCCGCAACGCTAACTCCGCCGCGGAGAGAAGGAAAGGTGCGCGCGCAAACGGGCAAGTCTCAGGCTCAACAGAGTTTCCAAAGCACCCACCGGCTGAACAGCTGGTTGGACCATGGGGTTGGAAAGCATCGCCTGGGGATCTGGGCCCCTGAGTGGAGCCAAAACTGAGGCACATGCTTTGTCACCCAGGCACGCAGTTCATGAGTTGATGGCTTGTTTCCTTGGGCGCCGGCATACGCGATGTCCAGCACGATGCAGAGGACCCATATCCGCACAGGCCAGGGGATCCGCTGAAGCAGACCCACCAGGCAGCACGGTGCCTGTGCCGCGTGCGCGCCATGCCAGCACCCCACATATCAGTGCCCATGGTTGGTGCATGATGCAAGTGCCTGCGGAAGGATTTGGGCGAAGCTCTGCTGCCTCCTCAACGGTTAACGGTGTTGCAGCATGCGGCAGGCACAACAAACAGAAACCCGCATGCGCATCACCGCGAAACTAATTCGGGCGGGCCTCTTTTGAGGGCACCCTCTCGCAAAAAGCAAAACCTCCAATTTGCCAGGGTCCCAAGCAAAACACCAACTTTTGAGTGACAACACCCATTTAGGAACACACCCGAATGGTAGCTCCAGCAATAGGCCAGGCTGCCGGCGCTGCGGCTTCAATGCTCGATCCCCCCTCGCCTGGCGCTTTGTGACGGAAGACGGAAACGGGTCCCAAACACCCAGCGACTTGCTGGGAACTCAATTGCCGAGTCTGTCCAGCACAGGTTCAAACTTGCTGTTTGCAACTGAAAGGGCAGCTCAGGAAGTGACTTCAAGTGACATCCTCGAAGTCTAAAGGGAAACCACAGAGAACCAAAAGCGATATGAAACGGTCGGAATGCCCCCTTCAAGTGACCCAGCTTCGGGGTCGCGACTATAGTGAGAACCCTGTGAACACAACTGATCACCTACTATGGCGCTCGGAGGCGGGAAAAAACCCTGCAAAATATGTGTGAATCGATGATGAGTTCACCAACCGGTTTTGCAGCAACCCGCTGGGCAAAATGCTATCTACGCATTGCTTAGCGCGGTCTGCGGGGTCATCAAACTTGGCACAACAAGGTCAAAAAAGGTTCCTGCCAAAAAAGTCCAGCTGTACTCAAACTGCGGGTGGCCTCAGTTGGAAGGTGTGGAATTTCGTGCGCGGATGGCCTGAGTCTTCCTGAGAATGTGTCTAGGGACTGCCGCATGAAAAGACAGACCAAGTTCAACAGCAAAGTCATGGACGCTGGTGTCACCACTCAGATGTCACGCTTTTGCCCTGACCTAAGCAACTCTCGATCTACATCCCTGCCAAGCAGCACCTTCTTAAAAAGACAGGATCGGACAACCACCTGCACCCTCGCCCACACCCCTCGCCTGATGTCCCTGCCGCTGGTGCATCTGCCCCCGCTGCTGAACTACCGGCAGCCGCAGAGTCTCCGGCCGCAGGGTCGGCCGCGGGGTCTGCCTGGCATTCGCATCATGTACCCCTGCATGAGGCGCTCTCCCACCACAGGTGCCTGAATACTAAAATGTGCAAAGAAACGCCATGCCAACACAGGAAGCCCCCTACAGTTTGAAAGTATGGGCGTTGAACACCGTCGTTGCTTTGCCATTGGTGAGTTTTACGTTAAACTCTTGCTTGAACAATGGCAAATCCTCATAACAAAACTACGCACCCGAGGTCACGCAGAAGCAGAGCTTTTGGAAAAAAGGGCACGCGACTCGCAAGTTGTTTTGAACACCTCTCCTGCGGAACGCTGCCGGTGTTCCAACGTCAAGACAGAAAACGCAACCGTGCTTTCCAACCACAAACTCGGTCATGAAACTCTACGCAGTCGCAAGTGTGTTTGTTTCAGCCACCTGAAGCTGCAGCAAGCACAAGGATCCCCGTCACTCGCATGTGCCTCTGCGTCGGCCACAGGTACCACGCGAGCAAGGACGCCACCGCTGGGCGACGGCCTGCCGAAGAGCTGGAAAGATATATTTGGGGCTAAACCCTGGAAATAGCAGACGCAAAGCTGGAGGGGCCACAATCGACAAACTGCAATCCCGTAAAGTTGAGCTGAACCATCTGGACCCCAGGTTGCTGTGTATTTGCCGGCTTGCCCTAACTGAGTGGTGGCTTCGTTGAGTTCCCCACAAGTCTGATTTGATGAACATGAAGACAACGTATTCCTCATGCGCATGTGTTTGAGCAATCTTGAAGTGCATCGCATTCGAAAACCCAAAGAACTACCCGAAAGGCCTCCCATTTGCAAAAACACAAAAACCGCGAAGCTAGAATGTTGGAAGCTTGTAATTTGACAAGCAAGAACAATTGCTTGGATTCTAAAACCAAGCTTCAAATACGCTGGCCATATACTGTTGGGAGCCAAGCTGGAAATGCAACCAAGCTAAGCTGAACCTGTTTAGAATGTATTTTAAACACTCTAGAAAGCGTGATGGGATGGAATTCCTTTCAACCAGACCTGAAATATGTTTCCCATCAAGAAAAAACAGTTTAACGCGTGTAAATCTATACGGGTCATGTCTAGCAAAAACCTACCAGGGCGTCTAGTAGATGTCAAGAAGTCTCAGCATGTGTCTAGCACGTGTCCGGGCATTGCTGTACTGTCTAGCATGTGTCCAGCAAGGTTGCCCTCTAAACTCCCATCTCTTTGCTAGATGGGCTGGGATCCAACGAAAGTCCCCTGGCCTAAATGTCTGCTCCCTGCCTCTTGGCCAGGAGGTGAAAGTCGTCCAACACCCAGCGGTGATGCGCAGAGAAGAACAGGCCGGCGATGAGCGGGAGAAAGCTCACATGAACGAGGACCTGGGAGAGGAACGTGACGCAACAACTGGCGTGGGGGAAGCCGCTGTTTGCATGGGAAATATGGAAAGCTGATGGGTGTTGTCACTGAGGATGGCAGAGTTTTTCCATTCATAATAAACAATTGTAGCAATGATACTAAAATGGCCCTGCCTTCCAAATCTTCACAAGCGGAAACACGAATAGACACAGGAGGCCTATCCCCCAGAGCATCACAGAACCAGCCCCAAGGAGGCGCAACGGGAATGCATGGCTGTAGATCGTGCTGGATGTCCCCGGTATGAAGGAGCAACCTCGCCCCTTTGGTACCCACGATCGTGCCACCCACCCTCCCGGTACTTCGACTCTTTCAGGCAATCTTTCGGGAAAACTCATATTGTCTGTCAGTTGCAGTATCTGCTTGTGTTGTCGGCGTCTTTGGCCAAATAAGTGGGAGCAAGACCCACTCAAAAAAATGCGCAGAAACAGCGCGGATCCTGTCAAACCGGCCATCACACCGCGCCATCCAACTTATGTCGAGCAGCGGCCCAGCTATCCACCACCCAGGAGGTGAAGCCAGCCACTGCGACCCAGCAAAGGTAAGCCAGCACCTAGAGCGAGGACGTGCCCAGAACAAGCCACGCGTGATAGCTGCTGGCCATCCTCACATGCATGAACAACTTTCTCGCGTGCACTTGCCCAAGTAATTCATCTTCACCCTTTGTACTGGGATGCTAGGCTTTGCTAGAACGCATCAACCTAGAGAACTTAACTTCGCAAGCACCTTGAATCAGGGCTTGGCGGTCCGGTGGTGTGAAGGTCTGGCAGTCTGACAGTTGTGAGGAGTTGGAGGTAGTTCCGACAGGCATTGCTTCCTCTAGCTACTTAGTCCGTGACTCGCCTTTGAGACCCGAGCGACCCCTCCAAGTTTATCCTCAAACAGGAGTGTAAACGAACGCTGCGTTTGCAAACCCCCAGGCTGTCAGAGGAACCATGAACTTCACTCGAGTCCTTTGCACATCCCTCGCTCGCCCCGTGGCACCAGGTTCAACGGCGCTGTCTCCAGCAGCGGGCCCTTCTTGCCCAAGGCCTCAGCGAGACAGCGCCATGCTTCCAGCGCGGAAGAATCAACGCACTCTTGGGTTTGTTCTCCTGCTACCGCTGACATGGGGACCCGACAGGAAAGAACAAAAATGTGGTTTCCAGCGAAGCTTCTTTTCGAGACAACCAACAAAACGAGTAACCCCCCACACCCGAAACAAAAAACTCACGCACGTCATCGATCCTGGGCCCGCGCCTGGTACTGGGACCTCCTCACCCCATACAGCGACACGGCGAAGACGAAGCCAATGCCCAGCGCCACACCTGCGCGGCGGCCGTCAGGAACCGGAGAAAGGGGCTGGGAAACATCGGGGAAGAGCCATTGCAAAGGCCAAATGAGCTTCAGTAAAGGGTGGCTTTCTGAGCTAAATGGGAAGTGTGGCAAGCCCTGCCATCCCTGCCACACCTCCCTGCTCATATCTGGGCCCGAACGGCCGCCTGCATAGTACTGCTGCGCCCGTGCATCGCACGTGTCGCCTCGGGAGGCTCCCTTCCCCTAGAAAGAAGGCATCCTACATATCAAGCGTCAAGCTCACAATGAAGCCGGCCATTAGTCTGCCTTGTGAGCTGCCATGCGAGTGGCAGCGTGTCAAGCAAAACACCCCTTTGGCTTGAGAAAGCGCCTTTGGTGGAAAATGCAACAGAATGCAAAAGAAAAAATGGTTGCTCGCAAAGTGTTCGGTGGCCCCGTCCCCAGTAAGCCTGTTCTATAGCCCGCGGGGGCTTGTAGCAGGCCTGCAGAAGCCATGGATCGCTCCATGATGAGCTCTGGACTGTTTCGTTCTGGCCCAGGTGCACATGGAGATGTGCGGCGGCTCGAAGAACACCGTCACCAACGCCACCTCTGCGGAGAAAATGATCAGCACCACCAATAGGGCCCACCTGGGCGAGACGAGCATGCAGCTTTCGGGCCTCCTGAGGCCGTGAGCCAATTGGACTGCTTGCACGACGTCCCCGCTCACGGGTGTTGTGGGGTGGACCTTCCAAGAGGTGCTTGCTGCTCGATAAGCTGGGAATATTTTTGTGGACCCTTTAAGTGACAAAAAAAAACGTGTATGTCCACCAACTCATGGCTGATTCACTTTTCCTTGCTCCATGGCATGCTCGCGCGGATTCGCTAGCAAGTCATGGGAGTGCTTTACAAAGCATTCAACTGGAATGGAATGGAATGGAATGGAATGGAATGGAATGGAATGGAAGCGCAGTTTGCTCATCTGTCGTGCTGCTCAGCTGCCCGGGATGAAGGTACCAAGCAAGTTTCTTCTTCTTCGGCTCTGCTGTGGTCACTGCCGTTGCCTGGCTGCTTGCACGCTTTCGGGCATGAACTGCTTCCTCAAAGTACAACATGAATCCGAAATCCAACTCCTGGGGACAGTTCGCCCAATGCTGCGGTGCACAGTGGGGCCTCCAAGGATTATGTTCTCGGTGTGCGCTCGGGATTTCCACCCAAAAGGTTGTTGTTTGGAATTTGACTCTTAGTGCTCTCTTTGGGGCACTGGGAAAAATCCCACCCCAACCATCACCAGCAACCTGCCATGATACATCAGCCTTCCTTATGTTAAAGGGGTGCGATCCCCGGAAGTGGCCCACATCCTCGCAAGCATGGGACACGCCCCAATGTGACCATTAACCCTGAGAACGCTGTTTGTTTGTTTTTTTTCTGAAGCCCCTTGCCAGAAGAACGGCTCAACCTGACCCAAGCTGTCGGCCACCCTTTGGGGATGAGTTTGGCATGCCTCGAAAAAACGAACCCCACTCCAAACCGGCTTGCCCGGTTTTCCCGCAGTCCGCCTTCAAGTGCGTTTCAGGGACAAACCTGTTTTTTGTAGGTGAGCTCTCCTCAGTCCTGCCTTGGGCTCTTCTGGGTCCTCGGCCGCCCCTCCAGCCGGAGCACCGCTGTGGCTGCCTGGCAAGGCTCAGCTCTGCTGATACGTGCCATTTCATTAGCTTACTTGCATGTTTGGTTATATGCATTTGTTTGCGCCGGCGCGCATTTGTTCGTGTGCTTGATTGATTGCTTGCTTGCCTGCCTGCTTGCTTGCCTGCTTTGTTGCTTGCAAGCTTGCTTGTTTGTTTGCTCTTCGGGACCCTCTGCTTTCAGCGTTTCTGCTGAAACCATGCTTCCTCTCTTGGAATTCTGCTTACTTGGGGCTGGACGTAAAAGCGCGTTTCACGAATGATTGCCAAATGGTAGGCACTCCTGCTCGTGTGCCCGCTCAGCACCGCACACGCTCCTGCCAAATGCTAAGTCACGCGCACGCGCGAAGCACTGCACACATGCGTGTCAAACGGTAAGCAGCTCACCCACCCGCTCAGCACGGCACGCATGCATGTCAAGTGGCGAGCACACCCGCTCACGTGCACCCGCTCAGCACTGCACAGCGGAAGCTTGAGCTTCAATCCCTCCCATACTGAAAAACCACCCATGAATGTGAAGGTTCTTTTTGGGGAAGATATATTTGGTAACAGGGGCCTCGGGATCCGCTCTCCTGACTTATGGAAATGTTGAAGTGGGTGTCGTTTTTTGAGGTGCCCTTTGTGCTGTGGTTGAAAAGGGAAGGAAAAAAGAAAACCACATTGTGTTTACAACCACTGCCCAAAAAATGTGTAGCAGCTGAACGAGGGAAGTGCTGAAAGGCGTGGCGATACCAGACTAGTGGAAACCGGTCTCATCAAATATGAGCCCCTGAAGCTGTGAAAATATGACCATGCTATCAAGACTTGGCAGGTCCGGCTTCAAAAGTTGGTGCAGTTTCTCTTTGCATAGCTGATCCAATTTGGCCCAGTTGGGAAAAATGGAGTGAAAAGCGCAACACCTGGACACAAAGAAGCTTCGAAAGTTCGCTCTGTTTCAGGACAGTCGAAAACACTGTTTCGCGCACAAACCCCATTTTCGTGGGAGCACCGTGGTGAATTCTGCACACCCCGTTCCTGAACAAAAGAGCCATGTGCGTTGTATCTTGGCGGAGCTGTGGCTTCGAAGTTTTGGGCGATTGGCTGCGTGTTCACGTGCTTTCGAGGATGGGTCTGTGCATGGGCGTGCGGGTGTTCATTTGCGTTTTTGCTGTCTTGCCTTCTTGCTTGCTTCCTCCTTGATTGCTTGTTTGCGTGTGGTCGGTCGGTGGGCTGGTTGGCACACGGCTTTACTGGGCAGCTGGCGGGGCGGACAGACGGAACTGAGTGCAGGCGGGCGCCAGGCGCAAAAGCACCAACAAAAAAATGTAGCGGAGTCCAGCGCGGCATGCACGTCCGAAAGGAAGTCCGCAAAGGGGGAGGTCTCTGAAATTTGTTTCCGTCGTTGTTTCTTTCTGTTGTCTTTCTTTGCACTTCTGTTCTATCTTTGTGTCTTTGTTTCTTTGCTTCTGCGTCTTGGATTCTTTGATTCCTCTGTTATTTGCCTCTTTGTTTCTTTGTTTCTTCGCTTCTTTCTTTGTCTGTGTGTGCGTTTGCTTGCGTATTTGTTTGCTTGCTTGCAAACTTGCTTGCTTGCTTGCTTGCTTGCCTGTTTGTGTTTGTTTGTTTGGGTTTGTTTGGGTTTGTTTGTTTGTGTTTGTTTGTGTTTGTCTTTGTGGCTTTGTGTCTTTGCGTCTTTGTGTATTTGTGCGCTTGCGCGTGTAGCTCCAACTACTTGCGGGGTCAGAACGATTCCCCGCACAAGGGCTTGTTGGCAGAACAACCGCACAGCATTTCCTCTGCCTTCTCTGGACAGTTAATGTTGATATCCATAGGGTATGCGATCATACCCACTGCCCCCTGGACTCGGAAGGCCCAACAACAAAAGAACAACAAAAGAACAAAATGCAGCCAGGGACAGTTCAGGGGGAGACCAGGCTTCCGAAATGTAAAAAACACGAACATAAAAATAACAAGAGAACACAATGCAGCTGGAGACAGTTCAGGAGGGCCAGGCATCCAAAAATGCACACGTGTTGTTGTTGTTGTTGTTGTTGTTGTTGTTGTTGTTGTTGTTGTTGTTGTTGTTGTTGTTGTTGTTGTTGTTGTTGTGGTTGTTGTGGTTGTTGTTGTTGTTGCTGCTGCTGTTGTTGTTGTTGTTGCTGCTGCTGCTGTTACTGTTGTTGTTGCTGTTGTTGTCGTTGTCGT